CTTGCATATTACCCTTATCATTAGGTCGCCTATTCAAAGGAATTAAAATTGGCATCACCGTTAGATGCTTAGTAAATAAATGCAAATTACTTGAAAGATGCCAACATACAAAGATGGATGCTTTCTCACGACGTAACTGGTCGCAGAGAGAAAGTATTTGCACGACTGTTCACATTTGGAATATAAACTTTTGTACTATAACCATTTCAAATTTTAATGTAAAACGAAAAACTTGCAATATAAACGGCCTTTGGAAATCGGTAGTCCTATTGAAATACACCTTCGCGATGGAAAACAATGTCTTAATTGTCGATATCGATGTGTAAATTAACAAACCACGATCGTTGGCAATTGATTGGTCAAGAATCCTGTCCTTTAGATTTTTTATAACATAAGGAGACAAACGAACAAGCGGCCACCTGAATCCACCGAAATGAAAAGCGACCGCTGCCTATCAACATCCGCAATTGCAGATGCGTTGCCTACCCTTAATTGACGGAGGAAGAGACGAATATAAAGAGGAAATTTTCCCTTCCTATGCGTCTCCTGCACCGTCAAATCCATTTTTCTTCCCATCCTTTCCTATTAAGAAAAGGGTGGAACGGGAAAAGGGAGTAAAATTAGGCCTCCGGCACCACAATCATCAGACGAAACGCGGAATTGCTTCCACTTTACGCCTGTTTTCGTGGTCGTGATATTGCTGGGGGCGAGTCGGCCCATTCGTGCGAATTCGGCTCTACCACTATTAAAATAACTTGCAACTGGGTCTCAAACAGAAACAACAGAAATGCTTTTACTTTCTTTCGATAATAAATTACTGGGTAAATTGGTATTTGCTTAATTAAGTAGCCTTAGTCACGCTACGAAGACTGAACTAATTTCTTTGTATTGTTTACATTTTACTATATTACTAGCTTTGGCCTGAGACTCTGTCCGCGGTGTTTATATAACGTATATGTTCTTCCAGAATAATTCCTACATCTACGCCAAATTTCATCGTGATACGTTCAGCAATTTAGGCTACAAACTCCAAACATCCATCTAAACATTCGCATTCACAATAGTAAGATTGGTCAATTTCGGGCTAAAAGGGAGGGTGTGTCGATATAATCATATTAAAGCGTTGAGTCGTGGTCGTGACGTTAGTGATTAATGTCTTAAGTTCTACCTTTTATCGCTTACACGTGTAAAAATAATGATTTTTATGGTTTCAGATCCTATTTTGCACGCTCAATACACACAAAGTTGACATGAGGAAGCTTCTCGGAGGCCAAATAGGATTAGAGGACTTCATATTCGCACACAGAAAAGGTAGACCTAAAGAAATCGAGATAGTTAAAACTGAAGACGCTCTTGGACTAACAATAACAGATAACGGTGCTGGATATGCGTTTATCAAAAGGATAAAGGAAGGCTCCATTGTTTCGAGAATACCGCATATAGAGGTAAGATAAAATTAATCTTAATATCCACATATTCATAGTAGTTACATAATTGTTTGATTTGGATTTTTTAAAATCATACTAATATTATAAATGTGAAAGTTTAGATGGATAGGTGGATGTTTGTTAGAGTTTGTAACCTAAACGGCTGAACGGATTTCGATTAAATTCGGCATAGATGTAGAGGATAGAACACACAGGCTATACACTTTTGTTTTATTTTCAATTCACGCGCACAAAGTCGCGGGCGAAAGCTAGTGAAATGATAATTTTGGTATTTATTACAATAGTGATAATAGTGATAGTAACTCTTATAATTTTATGTAGGTCCACCTATATGTAAAAAACCAAAGTATTTTTTAAGTAGAGCGCCAGGTCATTCACCTTGTTAAGACCTACAGGAAATAAACTATTGTGAGCATTAACTTATTGTAGACGCATTGTTAATCTCCAGGTCGGCGATCACATCGAGAAGTTGGACGGAGAAAATATGATCGGCAAGAGGCATTATGAAGTCGCTAAATTATTAAAGGAAATACCAAAAGGTACCACCTTCACGATTCGTCTCGTCGAACCCTTGAAGAGCGGCTTCGGAAGCATCGGACCAAAGACAAGCGGCGCGAGATCAGGAAGAAAAACAAACTATGGTTCCGGAAAAGAAACTCTCAGATTCAAAGCGAATGGTCCAGCGACGATAGAAAACGAGGTAAAATATTTTATAGGTTATCTAAAAATAAACCATAGAGTAATGCTCACAAGCATGAATCATTGAGTGCTGGCATATTAATTCAGTAAATTAGCGATAACGCTACCAATCAGGTCAATTGTAGTTGAGCAATAGAGCTTATCTGTTATCCCAACATTTGTTCTAGTTCAGAAACGAAGAACTGATTGTTTTAAATTTAGAATTGACGCACAAACAGTGCATAACGGTTTGCTTTCTAAAAGCCTAAACAATTCAGCGGCAAAAGTTAATAATTTAATACCATTTTTAATCATTTTGTCCACATGGTTTTTAAGATAAACACACCTGTGTGCATGCAATCACGAGAATACTGCAACGAACAATAAATAACCTAAATTTTAATTATTTTTTTACTTTACAGCATGACGAGAGGTCACAGGCTGGGATAGATAAAATAAACGGTCTACTGGAATCTTTCATGGGTATAAATGATACAGAACTGGCAACACAGATGTGGGATATAGCGGAGGGTAAAACGAATTCAATGCAACTCGCCGAAGCCATAGACAACAGCGATTTACAAGAGTTTGGATTCACGGATGAATTCATCATAGAGCTGTGGGGTGTGATAACGGATGCTAGATCTGGCAGACTCACTTAAATAAGTGAAATATGCTATGGCTGTTCTTCATTATTTATTTAAAAGAAATCTAAATTTTAGCTGTATAATTTTAAATGTATATGTTTAGCTTAACAGAGGCAAACTATCTTAGGGTATATTGGTATATTGCATTTAAAACTATGTAATTTTACTTTGTAAACAATTTACTATCGATGTTCTGAATAATTCTTGATGATTTTAAAAGCAAAAACCGTTAATTTCCTTAAGGAAAAACCATTAATTATTTCTGTAAACATTCTTACCTTTTATGAAAGAATATATTCAATTAATATCGATAATTCAAGGTGTTTGCTTTTCTAGATTTGTCTATTAAAATTATAAAAAAAAAATTAAAGTACAAAATAGTATGAAATGTCAAATAAAGTTTAATTTTTTAAATTACCATATAGACCGAAACAAGGCAAAAAAATGTATGTAACAGAATTCACGTAAAAGTAGTGAAATAAATCAAACTTAAAATTGTAACGTTACGAGAATGCTTTAAAAAACATCTCACTATATTATGAAACGAAATATATTGATTTTGTTGACCAAAGTATGACCAGACTTATTTATTCTAAGATATAGTTCAAGTATGGGCGTCGCCAGCCGATCATATATGGGGTGGGGGACCAGACCAATGATTACGGGGGTTAGTTAAAATATTCTAATTGTTAAATTAAATGAGCTTCTAGTGACTGGTGGCACCTTAGTGTTTTGAATTAATTTTGTATTTATTTTACAATTTTCGACGTTCTTGAGAAAGTTTGGGGGTCTTGCCTACCCACTGCCCTCCCTTGACGATGCCCATGGCACTTAACTAAATGTTTTCGGTAAACTCTGTAGAAAGATATTTTAGGAATTGTGATTTTGTGATATTATAAATGTTTTACAAATGTACAATATGTTAAAATATTTTGCCAATTTTAGTTCAAAATTTATTAAAAAAATATTCGCAACTTTTACTATAAAAAAGTAAGCGAATAAGTTTTATGTCGGACTCTTAGCATAGTTATTCCGTTAGAAAATTGTACCCCTATGCAGACTTCAAAGATTTACGAAAAAGGCGTATTTAATTTGGAGCAAGACGCAGGAGAAGTAGCACCAACAGAGAATTATGAAAGAGCAAATTTTTTTTTTGATATCCTTATTTTGATCGCTCCTGATAAAAATATATCATTCTGTTTGTAATGAATATTACTTATTTCTTGGGAGACATAAATAGAGTACTGAAAAACAGGTACGCTCTACTTCTATGATTTCAAAAATTGTTAAAAAACGTCATTTGCTATGAAAGATGAAATGTCTTAACTAAAGTGAGATTCTATTCCAACAAGTCTTATTTTGCTACATATTTATATTTAGCCGAGTGTGTGAGATAAGTGTACTACAAATAGAGAGAGACAAAATGTTTGAGAAATGTCTAAACAAAATTAGAATAATCATTAAGAAACTTGTGCCTTGTACAGTACAGACTTTAGTATTTTATTTAAATATAAACGATCAGCTATAAAAAATATAACGGCTAAATACCATTTATTTGTAAAATTTCACAAAATAAATGTTTTTATTTCACTGCGTTGTCTGTTTTATTTTCTATTTACCAAATGATACAGTACCATGAAAAGAGTAGAATTTAGTACCTGTCATAGAATATTCGTAAAGAATCATTTGGTAAAGTGAATAAACTATAAGTTGGCGAAAAATAGTTCATGCCAACCGAGAAATAGAAGCAGCGACAATACTTTTATTTCGTCTTTACCTGTGTTAACACTAGTCCCTCTGTAAACATTCAATCTATCAAAGGAAAGCTACTTTTTTACTTATTCTCTTTAATTACGGAAATCACTTTCTTCTTATTTATTTCATAACATGAAAAGTCAATGACCTGTCAAAACAACACTATTATTAGCACATATTCTTATAAGAATTTGCTATCTCTATTTTTCCAAAGTGAATGAGAGGGATGGAAATTTCTTTTCATACAAGTGTCATCAGTGGAAACCCACTCTTATAGGGTTCACAACTCACAGCTCTTCATCCGGTTGCTGTACACTCGGCTATTCCTAGATTTAACTGACTACTAAAGAATGCTTATCTACGTTATATCATTGGTTCGAGTTTTAATTAAATGCGGCAAAACGAGAATAACAAGTTTGTTGATTGGAGAACAACAGGTTTGATCGAATTAAAAAACTTGAGAGAATAATGTTTTAAATACTTGATATAAACTACTTATTTTCTACTAGTTGTATTAATAGATTTTCTGAATGTATTACAGCAGAAAACTACAGAAACAATAATATTTGACAAAACAAATTTTAAAATAATATGAGCACGTTCTGATCGACACAGTAGGTGTATCAAATTAAATTTGTCGTATATTTACATAAATTAAAAAGCGAAATTGTAAAGCGTCATTTATGTATATTGATGACCTCGCTATGTTTGTCTGATTTGCTACATAAACAACCGATCATTCTTATCTGGTTTTTGTGATACGCGAGTTGTGCCTGTTTGTATCTTGACAATTTAAAGTGTTAACGTCATAATTATTTACATTTATTTAAAGAAACTTAAGACATACAGTTGAGAAATTTAATTTTTAAGTTTTACTGCGTCGTTTTAACTATACATAAATTAAAACTTGTATGTGTATGTAAATATTACAGTGATTCAGTGTTAAAATTTGGTTAAAATGTCTATAACGTCTAGAAGGATTATGATTCTAAAATTAAACTATATGCCAAATTTGAAGCTGTATAATGTAGCAAAGGTAAGTTATTATGATGCAGGATTTTATAAAAAATCAATTTGTTTTAATTCTTTTGTTTATAAATATAGATTTGTGTTAAATACAGTAATTCTTGATATTGTTTAATATGCTAGATTTAATATATCTTTACCGGGACTTACAGATACTGACTTGCAGTTACAGTACTACAAAAAAGAGTAATAAAATATTTCATAACATAAATGAAGCTGTAAAAGACATAAAAGATGGTTCTAAACTTTTGGTAGGTGGATTTGGACTCTGTGGTATCCCAGAGAACCTTATACAAGCAGTGAATAAAACATGTGCAAAGGATCTTACTATTGTTTCTAATAATGCAGGTATTTTTTTAAAATCTTTCATATCCTGTTGTACTTGCTAACACTACACTATCATTTAACAATATTAAATGTTAAGATAATATTTTTAATTTAATTGAAAATGTTTTCTAGGAGTTGCAGACTTTGGACTGGGAATTTTGTTAAAAGATAGACAAGTAAAGAGAATGATTGCATCATATGTCGGTGAAAATGCTGTATTTGAGAAGCAATTTTTAAGCGGAGAATTAGAGGTAAAATTCATAATTGGTATCAAACATGAATAATCCTATATATTTAATAGAATACCAAACAAAATAGATCATAACTTTGATTGATGTCATTTATATAAATTTACAAAATTATTTACATTTTCTAGGTTGAATTAACTCCACAAGGTACATTAGCAGAGAGGATCAGGGCAGGGGGTGCGGGCATACCGGCATTCTTCACACCTACTGGCTTTGGTACTCTAATCCAAGAAGGAGGAGCACCTATCAAGTATACAAAAGATGGAAAAGTAAGCAAATTTTAGTACCATATTTTATTAATAGAAGAAAATCAAAAACTATTGTATGTAACAAAATTTACAAGATTGTTATTTAACGAGTTGTTTAAAATGTTCTAAAACAATTTAATTATTATATAAATTATGTTTTAGATTGATATACCTAGTGCAGCTCGTCATGTCCAGCAATTCAATGGAAAAGATTATATCATGGAAGAAGCAATAACTGGCGACTTTGCCTTAATTAAAGCATGGAAAGCCGATAAATATGGGAACTTGATATTCAGGAAAAGCGCAAGAAATTTCAACCCAGCTATGTGTAGAGCTGCTAAAATAACAATAGCAGAAGTTGAAGAAATTGTTGATGAAATTGATCCAGATTTTGTCCATATACCAGCCATATATGTACACAGAATTATTAAAGGAGATAAATTCGAGAAGCGCATTGAAAGGAAGACTGTCACTAAACCGATTGAACAAACAGAGAAGAAACCATCTGATTTAATGAGGGAAAGGATAATTAAAAGAGCCGCTTTAGAGTTTAAACATGGCATGCATGCTAATCTTGGAATTGGTATGTTAACTTAAATAATGATAGAAATATATAAAAGTGTAAAGTATAATTGATTACAGTATAGTAGAGTTTGTGTTAATCCGTAACATTAGTAAAAAATAATTTATTATCTCTGGTTTTTCCAAAGATAATAATGTCTGGTTTACATTATACCAGTAGAGTATGACAGTGGCGTTGGTCTGTTATTGGTTGTTTTAGCTAATTCGCGCCAGTTAGTGTTTATATTATGACTTGTATGTTTGTTGATTTAGATTGCTACTGTACTATGATGCTGGCATAATGTAATCCAGGCATAAACAACTGAAAAAAATTTCATACTAGTGTTTCCACAATGGGATCCCATAGTAAGAAACAACCATTTGCATTTAAATACTCCTTTTTAGATTTAATAAGTAAATTTTAAAAGAAATATTGTGTAAGTGGAACTTAGCTTTATAATTTATTTTAATTATTTATTTTGCAGCTAATTATAAATTTAATTCTGTCTTATTTTCTTCAGGTATGCCAATGCTTGCCAGTAATTACATACCAAAAAATGTGAAAGTCCTCCTACAGTCAGAGAATGGCATCCTCGGACTTGGACCATTCCCAACAGAAGAGGCGGTGGATGCTGATCTGATTAATGCAGGGAAAGAAACTGTAACTGTACTCCCTGGTAAGTTTTCCAAGAGGTATATTCCATGTTTATATTATATATTTAATTTATATAATGTATTGAAATATTATACTGATGAGTGAAGCGTTAAGAAGTGCTTTAGTGTAGATCTCTCACATTAAATCTGATCTTTGGAGAACAACTTAACTCCAAGTACAGACTAAAACAGACATTGAAAAAAATCAATACATTATTGCTATAGTTATTATCAGACATGCCAGTCATTAAAATAATTATATTTACTTGTCGGTTAATTATCGTTTCTCTATGTTATTATTCATTACGATTGCAGGAGGTTCATTTTTCTCATCGGACGACAGTTTCGGCATGATCCGTGGCGGCCATATAGACCTGACCATACTGGGCGCTATGCAAGTCTCGCAGTATGGAGACTTGGCTAACTGGATGATACCTGTTAGTCATTTTATCACACTATTTCATGTATTAATAACTTTTTACAATGATTTGGCATGTTTTTTTTGTAAATGGATTAAAACACTTTGATACTTTTTAATATACGATATATTATTTATTATTATACTTATGGTTATTAGCAAAATGTAAATTGTTAAATCAATATGTTTGGAAATTTAGAAACACTCGAAAACTACTGGACAGTTTTTAATTTTAAAAACTATATGGCAGATATTGTATATCAAACAAAAAAGAATCGGTTCAAAAATGCGGAGGAACCGATTTAGATACAAAATAACCATCAAATTAAGGATCTTTTTTTGAAGTCGGTTAAAAAAATTTTCAGGGTAAATTGGTGAAAGGCATGGGCGGTGCGATGGACCTGGTGTCGGCGCCGCGCACTAAGGTGGTGGTGACTATGGAGCACACGGCGAAGGGCGGCGCGCACAAGATACTGGCCGAGTGCTCGCTGCCTCTCACCGGCAAGAACTGCGTTGATATGATTATTACTGAAAAGGTCAGTATACAGTTTTTTTTTTTAATAAATATTTTTGTTAATTGGGTTTTACAGCCATTTCAAATAAGCTTGGAGTCCTAGCGTGGTTCAATTCTAGTAATATTAACACTCGCAATGCCACTATTCACCTTACCAATATGGCTAATTTTAAAAATGACTTTTTTCTGATTAGTAAAATGAATTGAATTGATGAATAACATTTTAAAAAGTAAAAAGACGCTTGTTTCCGTTTTTAAATCATTGTAATGTCACCTAGCGTTACTGGCTCTATTATTTGAATGTTTTATAACCTCTAAAAAAATTAATTTCAGTGTGTGTTTGAAGTAGACAAAGAGAAGGGTCTAATTCTGACGGAGTTGGCGGAGGGTGTGACTGTAGAGGACGTGATAGTGAGCACGGGCTGCGAGTTCACAGCCGCTACCAAGATAAAGAAAATGGGTGACGTCACGAAAATTGAGGAAATTCTCGATTAGTTCGAGAAATTTCTGATGAATTAATGCAGATTTATTTAAGCTAGTCTATATTTTTTGAAATACATAATAATTCGTATTTTTGAAATGTTTATCTTTATAAGATTTTTCTCTAATTGAAATATTTCGAATTTTTATTTTATAGATTTGGAATACATATTTACTACATTTTATATTGTTATTGAGATATATAGAATAATAAATTGTATATCATATTTTGCCTATTTTTTATTGTTGTAAGTATTAAATAATATCTGTTAATAAAAAGTGTACTTCATTAATGCCGTATTTTATTTAAGACCTCAAGATTTTAAAAACCTACTTGAGATGGAAATAATAAAGATTTTGGACTTTTGTGGAAAATCATGTTCTTACAAAAAAAAAAAAATAAGTGACCTTAACTTTACAACCTCCTTTCTTTGCAAGTCTGAAATTGTCAGTTTGTTTTTATTAATGACACATCTTCAGAACCTTGATGATTTTGGTGATAAATGTTTACTCGATTTTTATACCTACTTATTGGATATTAATATGGTTGCGAATCAAAACCATCCGTTTGTTTTGTGGGGAGCTTGTTTTTTGTGGTTCATATCAATGTTGTGCATAATATGGTCTTTGCTTTTATTTTTCTGTAAGTAATTGTTATATCTCCACTAATTTAGAGCTTTTTATTGATAAAGCATTTACTTTTTTTGTTACAGTTGTAGGCAATATCCTCGTGCAGACCGGAACGGATTTGGTTAACGCGTTTGTTTTGCTGTCGGGAATAATAACGTTACCCACCAACGTGCATATTTTATATTCTATAGCATACGGCATCCGCGTCGAGTACGGTTTGATTGAATCTATTTTATACAGTAAAAACATTTTTTGCTTATCAAATGTAGGAAAATATGCAGTCTTGATGTGTTTATTAGTGAACAGTATAAGCAATTTTAAAGTGTTTCAAACTGCTTTTTTGTCTGATTTTTTTGACTAACTGCTCCTTACTCTATAATAGAATTTAAATATTAACGTAATATTTGTCTTCATTAGCTAACTCAAGATTTCTATTGATGTTTTGTTTCAATTCGTTCTAGACTCAAAAGTAAAGTTATGTGTTGTCCATTATGGTTTTGTATTATATGGATAATTGTCATAAACGCCGTTGGTATTGTCTTGTGTATAAAAGTGATACATTCGTGCGAAGAGAACACGGTAAATAGTATCGGCCATGGCATGAAATATTATAGAAGTATTCCGAAATATAAAAACTTCATTGACAATGTTCAATGGTCGTTACATTGTTGTGGGGTAAGTTAGCAGTTTAGAAACGTACATGAAATAATGCTCTCTCTCATTTTATTTTATTTATTATGGTGTTTACAGCTTAACTCTTATAAAGATTGGTTCAAACATGAGTGGTATGATAAAATTCGTGATTACGAATGGGATCCTTTCTCTAATAAACAAACTGTTAGAAGTTTGAAGGAGGCTACCGACAGTGTTCCTTTGAGGTGAATACCCTTTTTTTTAAATACATGTCACAACAGAAATTAAGATTGGTTTTAGTTACGTTCACTAACTTTTAATAGTTGCTGCAAAAGTGGTTCTTGTATATCTAACTTCCTGACGGAATTGGGGACGTATTCAATAAACACAGCTGGATGTGGCCATAAAATGTACCACATCATTAGGTGTTCGATGTGCGCACATCTATTCCTGTTCTCCTTGGTGATTCTAATAGAGGTAACTTGTGCTTTAACATGGCTAACATAAACTAACTTAACGCTATCTTATTAAGAATTAATTATTGGATAATTCTTATTGAAAATTTCTTTTTTTTTTTTAGATTCTAATGCTTAGATTTATTGCGCGGAAAGACGATAGTGATAGTTGTAAGAAACTTAAAAATAATGTACAACGTATAATGTCAGTAAATCACAATTTTGAAGCATCCAGCAGTTCATATCAAGTGAATCCAGAAGACAGCGAAGATTTAGAAATATCAAGAGAATTTGAAAAAGATTAAACCAATGTTTATTTGCTATGTAATGATAAATAGTATTATATAAATCTTAATTATATACATTTTATTTCATTTACACAAAGTATTTAATATTTATATTATCGGTTCGATTAAGGTTGAGGTTTAAATTAAATCGATTGAAATAACCGCCTGTCAGAAGTGTGGCAACATTTAGCAGATGTTGACATTGACAAATATCAAATGTAAATGGTGTTTGATTTGAGGTTGTTTTTGTGTGTATTACATTAGGTTCCGTTTAAATGTAAATAGGTTTAGTCATTTTATTTTCACAATTAGACCTAATTAAGATTTGAATTATTCGTGTCATTTAAATAAGAGATGGTGTTTTTAACTCTAACTAATTTAATTAGAGTTCGTGGGCCTGATGAAATTTGGAGAAAACGAAAGATATTCAGATTAGCTGCTGCTTATGTCGGCCGGCGAAGGAATTGTTATTCCGTTGCCGTGCGTAATGTCCATCGCGCTTTGGTCTACGCTACAAAAACACGCAAACTAAAAAAAGATGATATGAAGGAATTGTGGAATACTCGCATAACCGCGGCTTGTGAGCAGCACAATATAAGCGCGTTTACTTTGAAAGAAGGTTTAGACCGCTCTAATATTATGCTTAATCGTAAATCATTGTCGGACTTAGCAGCATGGGAGCCGCGCACATTTGAATGTCTTGCAGCTGTAGCACAAAAGAAGTTGGAACTTGATGGATTTATAGATGGAGTAGACAAGAAACATCCAACTGGAGTAAATTTGAATCTTAAAGATGTTATGTTAGAAACTTGGTTAAAAGAAAAGAAGTAGCTTTATTATGTTAGTAAATATTTTTAAGGTAGTGAAATAAAAGTTATTAGTACTAACTAAATGTTTTTTTATTTATTTATGAAGTTTTCAGTTCTTTCTTTAACTGTTTTGTTAATTCATTTTGCTGCTGAAGTAAATATAAATTCTCAATTTTTCTCCGTTGTTGTCTCTCAGTGTCTCGTATTACACCTTCATGCATTTTTTCCCTGGAAGAAAATTGTTGCTAATTTATTCTGGTTTTGAAGTCACATGGAAATAATTAGTTCCACACTGCAATTTGAAACATCTATACACAGATGGCTAAAAAAAAAGCCCAATGAATATCTTGGTGTAACTGCTAATAAATGAAATGCTTAATTTTCATAAAACAATTGGCCAAGAAGCAAATTACATTTTTAGTAGGATTTTAATTGATCTATCTGTAATTGTTTAGAACTTAAATTAGCCATTAACATAAAAAAATTGGTTAAAAGCAATAGTTATGTAACATTAGATATTAAAATTGTATTTAAATTAACTAGAACATTTATTCAATTTTTTTTTTCACTTGTTTCAAAGGAAGAGAGCTATTTATTAAAATCATATTTGCAGACAAATATATGTATTTGCGTATTCACCGTATATTATCTTTAGGTGCTTTTTCCTTTAATAAAAAGATTATTTTATTTACCTGTCTGATTGTTGTTTAACGTGCACGTAAGTAATTATGGCTCCCGTTGCAACACATGATAAACCTAAAACAAGCTTTGATGTTTGTGACGACATTTTAAATTCTATCCTAATAATTTATCATTTATTTTATTTAATCATTATTTTTTATTAAAAAAAAGTGACAAACAGTGACAAATTCAAAACTGACATTATCGACAGAAATCCCCAAGTGTCAGACTGACAGTTGACAGTTGTAAGGTGAGTAGATTAAAAATAAAAAATAGTTAACAGATACAAAAGCAGGAACAAAAACCGGGTCATGATCAATTTCACAAATTAATTTTTTAATCCCACTTTAAATAAAGAGGTGAATTTAGCTCCTTCTTGTTGATTTTTTAAAGCAATTTTACAAATATTCGTTATTACATAGTTTTGGTTAGACAATAAAGATAAGAAAGACAGTATTTTTTATAATAATTCGTATATTGTTACAAAATAAATATATCATTAAATAAAAATACATTTTAAACTATTTAAATCTTAACATTAAATTCATAGTGTATCATATTTACAAAATCGTTGATCATAAACTTAATCAACAAAAATACTCACAGTAGCTTGACAATGTTAAATGAAGAGATAAAATGAAACTCACAGACAAATATTGTTAAGAGTATTCTTCATCACAAGTCATGGATTCAAACAAACATCACATAATGGAAACCAAGTTTATAACTAATAAAGTCATTGGGTATAAATACGCCGTCACAAAGAGATCTAACCACAAAACACACTTTAAAATAGGCTGATCCATCACAATTTTGATGACTTAAAGCTTTCCTTATTAATTTGTAATAAATAATGGTGCTAGCGTCATTTGTATGGCACGTTGGCTATCTGCTGCAGTTGTCATAGAAACTTGCGGATCCCCTATTGGGAATTTCTGCAAATTCACGTTTCGGCGTGCACAATTTACTGCTGAAATCTACATTTCTCTTCCTGCGGAAAAAGATACTGTTATAAGCGTTCATACTGTTAGGAACAAAATTTGTACCGTGCTATAGAATTGGCGCAACTCTAGATTATCGGCATAAACGTCACGTCCCTAGCTGACAGCTGTCAATGTCACTAGAAGGGATAGATTGGCGCGCAACCTGGGTCCAGACCCCACCGAGAAGTGTTGCTCTGAGTTTAAAGCGACAGTATCAATTAAATAAGTTGTCTAAAAATACTCATGAATTAAAACAGATACGATACTAGTGTTTTGCTTTTAACTTTTTAATTTGGTAACAGACATGGTATTTCATATTTCCTAAGACTGAAAGTCTCTGGCTGTCACTTTATTAATAGAAATTTAAAAAAAAGTAGATAATTAAATTAACAGCTATCATCTGCTTCGTAGACAGAAGTTACAAAGGATTGTTAACAATTTACCCTCTACTTGGCATCTCCATCTGGTCTACGAGAACCGACTTTACGTAGAGTCGGTCATTGCACCATAAGATACAAAGAGATCGCGGCTCCAGTACATTCATGTCGTACTCCCACGATAACTCTACCTAAAAACAGTTCAAATATTCATTTAAAATATTTAAAAAAGTGAAATAATTTAAAAAAAGATTTAAATTCATACTTTTCTTATTTTACCGCCTAAATCTACAGGATGAGTGACTACTATTGTGTATGTTGTTCCATGTTCTAATCTGAAAAACATAACATATTAAATATGTTCTGAATAGAATAATTATTAATAAGAGTCGTCACTGTAAAATACTTACTTGACATAATTACTCGGTGTCAAATCCATCCCTCTGATTACCCCTCTCTCCGACATTAGTGTTACTTTAAGGAAACCCTGATGGAAAAAAAATCAATATTTAAGAGGGAAATTCTGTTATTTCTTTTAATGTAAAATTAGTTAAACAGAAACATTTTTTTTACCTGAACCCAAGATTCAGCTCCTTTTGGGTTGGCCAATTGTATTGCAACTTTATAGTGTCGGTCTGGAAATAAAAACAACATTATATTGTCTATACTCTTAAATTAAATTGATTTGATTGTAATAAAACTTACGACAAAATGGTTGTTCTTTTCCAGTACTTAAAAAGTATTTAGCGCCAATAGTTTCTTGTTCTTCGGACGGATAAACCTCGTTTTCCGACTGATTGTTTTTGTTAGCTATAAGACCCGGAGAACTGTCTGCGTGGAATCTAAACAGTAATAAATAGGTGTTCGAAATGTTAAAAAAAAAAAACACGAAATAAGTATTATCGATAGCAACATATCGCAAATATGTTTTATATATGTTTTTTGTTAAAACAGGGATAAAAAATTTATTGAAAAAAACTTACCCCATTATGGCACAACCATGCCCACAATGGAAACATTTTCCAGAAATAAAGTGTTGATAAGATGGACATTGGTGACCTATAAATAAAAAAAACTTACAAAGTTCAATTGCCCGTCGAGATCAATACTTAAGTTTAAAAATAAATGATTATATTCCTTACCAATGTAGGGACATTTTCCATTAATAGATTCTGTGAACAGTTTGATAGCTCTGACGTGGTTACAGGCGACGAGCACTCTGGAGGCCTCCTCTAGGCCTTGCTTGACGAGTGTGAGCGGTATCAGAGGGCCTTCAGTGAGGTCACAGCCGGGTTGCTCTTTCCCATTGTTGGGGTAAAAATCTAAATGCCCTACCGGCTGCGACATCCCATATCCTGCCATAAATACAAAATCTGTCGCACGCATGGGATAAACAGGTTGATAATTAGTGGAATTATGCAATAAATAATCATGAATTTCAATATTTTTATATAACTACATGAAATGAACATCAGAGGCTAGGAAGCATATAATACATATTTACAAAAAATACATAAGTATTACATTATTAGTTTGTTAATACGAGTATAAAGCTATAAGCGATTTATTTACACCAATATTGATTATTTAAAATGGATCTACTACATATAAGATGAATGTAAAAGCAAGTGTAAATATTAAAACATTACCTAATAAGAAAATGCTTTTGCCGTCAGTGTGGATGACATCAACGAATTCAGCGTCAGTAGGATCTAATCTAACATGTGTTGGCATTCCTTGGAAATATGGTTCGGCTGGATCGAGACCAGTTATCCTTCCTAATCCCTACAATATAAGAAGCTAAATCAAAGACAGTATGAAGAACCTGTTTCAACAAATTCAGATTGCCAGTAATTATATATGTCGCTCTTTTAAGGCACTTACTTGAATTCTCTCTCCGGCGTAGCCAGCCGTGTGCGCGCCCAAAGAGTGGCCAATGATGTGTACATCAAGTGGATTTAAACCATGATCTTTCTGTAAAATCACATTATTTTTTTTAATATATAATACTAGCTGTTGCTCGGTACTTTGCCCGTGTGAAATTAAAAAGTAATAAAAAATATGGTCTATGTTACTCACTGCTAACGTACCTTTTAATGGTGAAAGAATATTTTATATCGGCCCAGTAGTTTTTGAGTTATTTCAATACATACAAAAAAAACGAATCTTTCCTCTTTATAATATTAGTAAGAAAAAGCGTTCATCATGTATCACTAAATGGTTGTATACAACAAAAAATATATTAAACTTCGCAGAATTTTATTCACTACAGCCCAGTAATTCTGAAAGTGTTCCAGGAACTGCTGGCATAAGGTAAACTCGATAGGTAAATGATGGCGGGAAATAGACTTGAGGAAAGTCAAAGAACAAAATGCAGAGGGCTAACCAAAAGCAGTTATAGTTTGAAAAGTGCAAGAAAGAAAATTGTAATTCTCTGCTACAGTCAATAAAAACGTAGACAATATTCGTGTTGTAAATTATTTCTTATTTATTTGTAGTTTGAATTACCTGTAAGGTGTTAATAAAGTGCGCCACTTCTAAGCCTACCAGCCGCGTGTTGGCGGTGGCCTGCGTGTAGAGCGGCAGACTGCCGCCGGCCCAGTCCACTACAATCACGTTGAAGTCATCTGCTTTCACGAGCTCGTCTTTCATCTCGCTTACCTATAAACAAGAGATCTCATGAAAAAACTAACTTATTGGATGTCAACGAGGCTATTAAATGTTTTTTGAAGGTACTACTATATAGTTCAATTCCAGTATATCTTTTATGTAGAGTTTATAAAAAATTCGAGTCAAGTCTACATAAAACAAATACATGCTGACGTGACGTCACAATTTGTTATGTTACATGAGTACTAATATTATGCTATAGAAACAATAGTGTAAGAGATTATTTTTAATTGAATCTTACCCAGTTGGATAGCGGCGTGTCTATGAAGCCGTGTATTATCAACTTTGTCAAACGTTTTGGGCTGAAGTTGGACTTGATTATTGTTTTATTCATATTTACATTTAATATCTGACCGTCTGTTGGATTCTTCTTAGTGTATAAAATGAATCTGAAATGTTATTACGACATAAGTATTTGGGTGTAGCTGTAAAAAGGAAATGAACAATATTATCGCTATTTATAAAATAAATGCTATACTCAGTATAGCAAAAGCGAAGGAAAAAAACCTATTTATGAGATACGCGAGAAGAATATTTGAAAGTTTAAACAATTTTTACATATTTAATAGAACAATATGTCCTCGTTCTACTAACCGACATCATGCGAGACGAAATCTACAAAACATACCACTTATGTTTTTGCGAACGGTAATCTTATCTCACAACTTACATGTTGCGTATTTTTTGCAAGAGAAAAAATATTTTTGGCTTTTACAGACAATTTATTAAAGTCATGATTTAAGAGGCTACTAATTATTCATACTAGTTTTTGCCTACAACTGCGTTATCATGGGCTTACCATATTAACCATTAGACTGTATTGTTAGGAACAAAATTAGTACCGTGCTGTTAGAGTTGACGCAACTCTAGATTATCGGCATAAACGTCACGTCCCTAGCTGACAGCTGTCAATGTCACTAGAAGTATGGATAGGTTGGCGCGCATCGAGAGTTTGGCGAAAAGTGTTGCTCTGAATTTAAAGCGACAGTATCAATTAAATAAGTTATCTAATAGTATGAAATAAAAACATACTAAACCGTATATATCGGCAGAAAGATTTTTTTTTCTGTTTTAATTAGCGGGAATTAATTATGTTAATGTAACGTGATTATTTTATTTTGTTACTAGCTTTCACTTGCGATTCCGACCCTGTGAAATGAAAAAAAAAGGAAACCTAAGTGTCCCTCCAGACTATTCCCCACATCTACGTCAAATTCAGCAGTTTAGGCTACAAACTCTAACAAACATCCATCCATCTAAACTTTCATATTTAAAAAAATCAAACAAAAAAATGGGACCCACCTGCAAGCATTACCTTTCGGATAAAAAATGAATTATCAAAATCGGTCCACTAGCGGCGGAGTTATGCCGTAACACACATAAAAAAAAAAAAAATAAAAAAAAAAAAAAACATACAGACGAATTGAGTACCTCCTTCTTTTGGGAAGTCGGTCAAAAATAAGTAAGATTATACCAACCTGGTGTTAATAACGACTCTAGGCAGAGGAAAAACATTGAATGGTCGATGAATCAGATGATACCAACTTCTTGTGATGTTCAAACAGCCGAGTTCGTCGTAACATCGAGTTTCATTTTCAACTGGAACAAAAAGTAGGATAGAAACCTAAGATCGAATAAAAGTCGTTTACAATGTTTATTTAATTGACAGCAGTAGTTGCCTATTTATCTTTTTATTCCACTATTTGCTTGGCTTCTTTATGAGAACAAATAAAGACATATAAAATTAATTAACTTACAAGGTAACCAAGGAATGTTGACCTCGATACGGTCAGAGCGTGCCCAGTTGAAGGGGTCCAGTATACCGGCGAACGTCGGTTGCAATCCCAGAAGTATGCACCACAGCATCACACGCAAATGTCTATCTGTCAGGTACAGTCGACGCATATTACCTGTAAATATGAATTAATATTAATGTGTTCAAGAATACCCTTGGAATTAGTAATTCTTAAGTTACTTCGTGATAATTAGAATAGATATCTAAATGCTTTTCCATGATACCTTTCAAAATAATTTAAGCTTCGAGTTTTTTTATTACCTTACATTTTTGTTGAATATATAGCAAACATTTTCGACTGACAATACTTTTTTATAACATTAAAATGATAAATATTTAACACATAATATATGAAATTAAGGGTATTTTATATTCATTTTTAAGTATGAAACAAGTTTTTTTTTGTCAGGTGGCTTTGTCGAGAAGCGATGATAACGCCCCATAAGTCTAAAACTAACAAAACTCAGTTATCTTATTACTTTCTTAAACAGATGTCTGCCAACTTAAACACCGTCCCGGTCTCAAGTAGGCAACAAGTTTGATGTATGCTTAAGCATTTAGGTATGTTGCTCATGGCTATGTTAATGCCATGCTCATATGTATATTTAACCTGTATACTTGACGTTAATTAGCCTAAAAATGTATGGAAAGTCAATATCCTTGAATAGCGTAGAGTAAAGTAGCAACTACCTATGGACACATGATGTGGCACGGTTTATAGGTTAAATGGACTCAAAGAAATATAGTAATAAAGTTTATGATAGTATATATATATAGTGAAAAGTGCCTGTTACAACAAGCCCTTAGCTCCCCTATAACATGTTTGTGTGTAAGTGTGTGAGTTTATTAACATGGAACAGGTTTCGTTCTATTTTATTTAAAACTATCATTATTATGTTAGAAATAAATGTAAGAATACTACATAATAGAAAATGATACAGAACAAAAAAGATTTATTAGTTTTGTTTTTGCAACGGTAGTTTCGAAGTATGCACGCGGAAGAAAATGTTGGGCACATTATCTTACATAATACGGCTGAGGCATATTGCAATATTTAGTTGTAAGTTGCAAGGCCGTATTATCAAAACATTAGGTAAGTAAATTAAGCTTTTTCTTTTTTCCAATATTGGGATAGTTCTATTCTTATGCCACAAGTTTGTAATAAATCATAGTTACGTATTTAAATAATGTTTGATATCACAATTGTATTTGTCGAAATCTAATTGACGTTTACAAAATGGATGCAATTTTTATGTTAATAGTTAACAAATACCTGTTTCGTAAATATTTATGTACTATCAGTGTAGACAAATTAATGCTTTGGTACTCAAGTCGTCTGTACGTTTTTTTTTCTTTTTATTTTTTTTTATGTGCGTTACGGCATCACTCTGCCGATAGTGGACCTATTTTGATAATTCTTTTTTTATCCGAAAGTTAGTGCTTGCAGGTGGGTCCCTTTTTTTTTGTTTGACTTTTTTGTATCGATTCTTCAAGTATTTTCATCACTAATGTAGTTATGTTTTTACCGTAGGCCTTATTAGGTTATAATTAAGAATAAGAAAAAAATGTCGTAACAGTTGATTAATTTTTGACCGGAACACAGTAGATCTTGTGATTGGCTGACTCAATCCAAACAAAGAATATATTTTCTAAAACGCTCTTCAAATAATTACGTTAGCTTTTTAACTATTTTTGATGTATTCTGTATTCTTAAAATTTATTTGTTAATTTGTGCTATTTATCAATACATTTATCTTTATTTAATACAACAATATTGTTAGGAAAATATTAGGAAACGGAAGGAATAGTGGTTGGTAGTTTTATAAAATATATGGCAAGGAGTGGCTCGGGCGCTCAGTTGCAGTCTCGGCGCTCAGTCGCCAACAAGCTCATTGTTTTACTAGTCGTCACAACGGAACGTTCGATATATTTGCGTTGTCGCATTGGAGTTAGTTTGTGTGTTTTAAAGTATTGTTAATATGGCTGTCCGTCTATATTTTAAAGGAAGTCATTTGTGTCGAAATATCTTAACAAATATGAATAGGTGAAGGCTCTTTGACTATTTAATTTGAATATAATATTAATAGTTTACTCATACTTGACACATAAATTATTGCATTCACTGAACCGTCAATTCAAATTCATTTTAGAGAATATTCAATGTGTATTGTTGATTTTGTGCAACGTAAAGGTCAATATTGGGTACCTTTTGGTCAAGGCTTTAAATCATGCGAAATATCGATTGACAATGATAAGGCAAAGAGTACACACTACACCAGTAAATAATATACGAAGTAATTCAATGGAATTATTTTTATGATTTCTTAGCAACTATAAATAAATTCTTCGTAATATGAAAGTTTTGAATTCCAATACTACAAAGTAATTAATCATATCTGAACAAGGCCTTATCTTAAAAATGTAACTATGAAAGTCAATTATCTCGGATGAGCTACGAAAGTGAAAGCCTAATAAAGAATTGTTATGAAACGTGTTTGAAAGGTCGATATTATAATGGTAGTACATTTACTAAGTTTATATTAATAAAAATAACTCTATACATAACAAATCTAAATATGCCACAATAAGCTACAATATTTCTGAAATTGTAGAAGTATAAAGAAACAGAACTAGAATTATTTACTTTATTTTGAAATAAAACTACTACATTATATACAATTTAGATATTACCACATTCTCTGTAACGTTTATAATTTTAACTAGCATTAAACTACGAGATAAAAAGGGTTTTTAATAGTATAAATTTTCTATAAAGGGTCCAATAACTGAATCTAATAGAGCCGAGACTAATCAATAACGTTTTGAAAGTAACGGTGATGAAATAGCGATGCTACAAAAAGACAAATCGATTAATTGAATGGAACAAGCTTTCACTTCGTGTTAATAAACAATAGTGTTATCAAAAAGGGTTAAAGAATGAAGTTATAATTTTGGGCGATGTAATTAAATGTACGATCCGAATTTTGTTAGTTTGTCTATATGTGAGTCAGTATTTGAACCTTGAAGACAATTATAATTCATAGCACTTGCATAATTGTAAAGTAGTGGACAAAGGCAGCGCATAAAAATATATTAGCATTTCTATTTCAAGACTGAGACTAGGCCATGTCCTTTATCGTACGGATTGTCGAGCAAGGTTGAACTTTACATTTCGTAGACAAATAATGTCCTTGCTTCTGAGGACTGTAAGCTCACGATGTATTCGTGTTTGAAGATTCTCTATAGTTACTAATAAAATCATTGAGTGTTAAATGTTTCTTCTTTCTGTGTTCGTCACGTGTATAAAAGTATTATTTTCGCCGTATGTTTGTACTTTAGTACCTTGGCGTTTAAAGTGGATATTAATGTCCATGCAGTTTATATCTTATCGGCTGTACCCGCACGTCTTCATCCGCAGGAAATCATGAAAATTTTATTTTATTGTTTACATTTGTCAAATTATCAATTAAAAATGTCAAAATGACCTGAGGACAAACCATGGCAGTCTTAGTTGATGTTGGTAGCTTGTAGCTTATGGTCCCTTTCCGACCTTAGTTTTTAAACAATTTACTAACGCCATAAATTTAATAGCGTAAAAATATGTAGGCTAAAGTGTGACGTAATTTTAGTCCTTTTTGCTAAAGAAAGAATTGGTCAAAAATATGCCGTGATTGCTGACATCTTACGCCACAAAGTGTGTCTTTACGCTTTATTATATTAGTATAGATTGTAATAAAGATTCAATAAACAAAGGAAGATTTATGCTAAGCTAATCTTGTGGTATAGAAAATTATAAATTCGATATAGTTTAAAAACCATGTAATACTATGAAAAAATTTCATTTAACGCATACCCAGTGTTATATGTTAGGTCAGGTTTACTCTCGTGATGTGCTAACACATTCGATAATCAATCTGCAATGGTGGATTAAAAATTCGCCGTGGTCATATTGACCTGTTGAAATCGTTGTGAGCCGGCTTTTACGTAATATTAACTCGATGTGGCGTGCTCGACTGCCTCAATGACAACTCATATTTAACCGAGACGAAAGTCTTAATTATTTAATAATAAACATTGCACAATAGGTTAAAACGTACGATTCGTGTGCATTCTTTAATCTCAAACGTAAAACATTCGAAAAATGGATTATTTTCAACTGAATTCATTTTAAAAAATAGCTTAAACTACGGGTGTAAATTTAAATATAGCATGTTATAGCAAAGCATAAATTATCTATGATCTGGAATTTTTATTTTTAGTATATAATTAAAGGTTGATTTACTTTGACACGGTTGCAGATTACGGTAACCTTCTTTCCACTTTGTTTCTTGTTGACCCACATCTGGTATTGTTGTGGTCCATGCAACGTAACGTAATATTTACACAAAGTAATTGATTATATCATACTATACAATGCAAATCATTGTTGAACGTAATCATATGGATTAACCACATCTCGTTTGTTATTTTATGGTGTGCAAATTATGTTTCACTGCTTGTCCGTTAACAATGCAAATAATTGTTTGAATTTTTTATTTAAAATGATAAACGTATTTGAAACATAGATAAATAGTCTATAAATGTTTTATTTATCACATAACGAAATAGTTTATTTTCTAAATAAATAATCCCAAGTAGGGTTAGCAAGGAGCCTGCCGTCCGCAAAAATAGCGCCGAATCCAAAAGTAGGTTTTGACAAAAAACTGTTGCGTCGACCCTACGGAAGTAGGATAAGGAGGAAGATGATGATGATGATTTATTTGCTCTACTTGGATTTGTTTTGGTATTGCCAAATATTTCTACGATTTGTTGATACTGTTAGGAATTATAGCTTAAAGAAAAATTGATTAGAATTACAAATCTGAAATTAATACTATCAGTTACTACTAGTCTGTGCTTTGAAACTATTTTCGTTACTTCGTAACGGAATTGTTAGAACAGTTATTTTAAATGAGTTTAAAATGATCTTTTTAAGTTCGAAACATGTGCGTGTTGTGAATTGTATGTAAATTGGTTAAACATGTCTTGAATATGTTTCTTTTTCCTCTTACATTTTATAGATAAACAAACCTTTATAATTTCAGCATTTAAAGAATCAAACGTTTAAAACGCAAC